GGCTCGGTTGGCTCGTGGACTAAGACGATATGGGTTGGATTGATATATTTTTGGCTCACTAAAAAACGGGTTGGACTGGATTGGGTTAAAATTTTTCCAGATCGGAACGAATCGGGTTAGGGTAGAATGGACCACTCGGTTTTACACCCATAATCAATCTATATGCATTGCGATTTCATATATGATTACGTTATATTACATGTCAGCAATCTTTTGCTTTTTACGTAAAGATCACAAGTGGTGGGTATATCTCTTTCACTATATACACATCAGTGACTACTTGCTACGATATTTCCCATGCATGGATATTCGATTTTACCCTTTTTTTTCTTTTTAAAATTATAAAGGAATTTTCTAGACATATGTTTATAATTAGGATCGAATTGTTTGGCTAATAACCACGTCACCGAATCGAACCAAATTGAATAATATATAACCGTAATCAAACCGAGTTCGATATAAAATCGAATGGTTATGATTTTTCTAAAACCAAAAAACTCGAAACCGAATAAAAATAATAGAAAAATCGATAATTTCTTTAAAATAAAAGTTTTTGTCAAAACCGAACCGAGTTCGAATCGAATATAAACCGAATTGAATCTAGTAAAGATCAAAGAGTGCACTTGTACTCCGGCTAATGCTAATAAAGAAAAGTTTTTTTTTTCAATTTAAAAATTAAAATTTGACTCTGATTAGATCCTTATAAAAAAAGAATGTTTATAATTTTTTAAAACCGAAATAATCAGAATCTGAATATAACCGAATCGAAGCCCAGATAAGCTAACCACCCGTACTGGTAATAACAAATATGACATCAACCGGTACCGTTCCTCCCGCCGGCGAAATAGACCGAAGAAGTCATATTGGTTAAGAAAAAAGTAGATGCCGGAAAAAAAGCCGAAGGCGACGGCTAGGTTTCCGGTGGGATTGTCGGAAGAGATGCTGAAAATGTGGTTGGCGAGTCTTATCTCCGGTCCGACAATCCCGGCCTCAATAAAAAGAGAATTTTAAGATGAAAGCTTCTTTATTTACAGAAAGCAAAAGGGAAAAGCGACAGAGCCCACGAACAACAAAAAAACATAAAAGCAAACATGAGTTTTTTTTTTTGTATTTAAATATAAAAAAAAAGAGCGAGAAAGAAAGAAAGAAAAAAAATGGGAATCGCACAAAGATTAATAAACTAAGCTTTTATATATATAAAAAAAAACAATGGGGTGACCATTACACATCCAATTCTTCCATATACACATACACATGTGTGTTCATTTGATGAATATATTTGTATTATTTACGAATTTAAAAGACAATGAAAATTAAGATAATATGTTTATCAGAGTAAATCCATATGAATGGTCAATGTGATCTGTAAAGCGAATCTCGATTTAGATGAAAATGTATGTAACATGGTAAGGGTGGTGATGATGATGATGATGATGGGCCATGCGTGGCTTTATCTTTTTTTTTTACAAGAATCTCTTACAAGATTGTCAATTTAAATTAAACAAAAGTAACCCAAGAAAGGTTCGCATGCTCCGTCTATATACTAGAAATTAATAAATTGCAACAAATTTTATTAGTAAAATAATTTGTAATTTACGACTATGTATGTAGTTGGCCTCCTTTATTTATTTCTTTGATTTATTTGTTCTCTCTCCTTTTTTTCTTCCTTTTTTATTTTTTCTTCCCGCGGGATTTTAATTTTCAACGAATGTGGGAATTCTTTATGGAAAGTGTGTAAATGGGTCCTTTTTTTCTGTATTTTTATTTATTTTTCAAATCTTTACTTTTTTTTTGGTAAGAACATAATGTCTCCCCCCATTTTTCTCCTCTATATATTCGCATGGCCATTCCCTCTTAACCCTAATCTCCATAATCCTGTCTTAGTATTCATATTCTTTGTTCTCCCAAATATCAAATCCCAAGATCGATGTTCCGAGAGAGCCAACACTAAAGTTAAGTTTATTTAGTACACAATAGAATATATGTATGTATATTTAATTTTATTTCTTTATATATATATATATGTGTGTATGTATCGATTATAGTCGTGCCTGGCTCCCTGTATGCCACAAGCGAACACCGATTCGGTCGGAAAATCGGTCGTCGCCGGTGGCGTGCGAGGAGCCAAGCATGACCATACCATCTCTTTCATATACAAATTCTTGCGTCTTTATGCACGCGTACATATTATATATATATATATGTTATTGTTAGTTTCTGATCTGTTTTGTCTTTCTTTAAATTGTTTCTCGTGGCCATCCGACAGTGAAACCCGTCTATAATAAGGGTGTATATATATATATGTATATGTATGTTTGTATATTGATTTGATGGTTGTGTTATATATGTGTGTGTATACCATGTTAGAACACATTCATGTAATTTTAGGAAACTTATTTATTTCGCATTTTCTTTTGTATGGATTTGCTTTGCAATTATTGGATTACGATACCTGCGAGATTGTGATGGCAGGCAGGTGGAGGCGCCGAAGATGTTTGATTTTTCTTTGAATATTTTTGTCGGCGGCCCGTCGAAGAACAAAGTTATATAATTAACGTTGGATTATTTTTCAAACTTTCTCATCTCTATTAGACCCTGTAATCACGGAGTATAAATATAAGTGCTTGGCATATATTACGATTTAACTACACATATATATTGTGATTTTTTATATATATTAGATGAACAATCATGTAAATTACCGTATTTATGTCGCATATTTTTTGGGTAGTGGTGGATTTAATTTGGTTTAAAATTAGTAACCCAATTGAGGATTTAAGGAGATTAATCATACTCTAATTCTATTCTACAGTATTGACGTCAAAGGTGACCCGAACCTTCGGTTTAAACCTGAGGCTCTTGACTTCGTCAAAGGCTCAAACCCTTCGTTTCATCCAGCAAGTTTAATCTTTGTATCGTATTATTTGAAAGCTTGGAGTATTTTGGGGTGACTAGTTCCATTTTGGTGTAAGGAAAAACATGTAACCATAATTATGTGTTTTTGGTCAAGGTTCACCTAATTTCCGGTCAAATTTGTTTCAAAGATCTAATTAGTTTTAGTTAATTCTTGATTACAGTGCTATAATGTTTGTACAAGGTCATTTTGTTTGCATAATCATAAAGTATGTACAATGATTATTACATTCATTTATTTCCTCCTTAATTATTTATTTATCATATTTATTTGCTGCTAAAGTGCTAGTGACAATCATATGGTTGGTCACATGAGCCAGATCCCGTGGCCAAAGCACAAACACATTATTAAATCGAGTGGTTATTAAATTACAATTATATTAAAAAATTTACCCATGTTAAATTTCGTGACATGATGTTTATTTACGTATAAAAACAAAATTAAAAACCCAAATGTCTCAACCGATCGAACTATTCGTCAAGATTATTTACATTGAATTTTCATGCAAAAAAAATAGTACTAAATAAAACTATTTAGAAAAATAATAATAGAAAGCGCAAACCATTATTTGGTCGTTTGGTTTGGTTCCTTTGTTGTTTGTTTAAAATTTTATTCTCTGCCTCTGTATTTCCTACTTTTTATATATTTACCCCCCATGTTTTGTAGAAACCAATATAGTCCTCATATTTTAATTAAATACATTTCGAAATATATACTAAACATACGATATTCATTTTGATATCGCATGAGTTATTTGATTCTGCAACGTTATAATTAATCAAATACTAATCAAACGAAGAACACTAATTAGCACGAGGGGCTGTCCGTTGATTAAGAGAGGGGCTAAAATACTCAAACGTCAAGAATATGGGGGCTACTAATAATTCAATTTATAAACATCAAAATTCGAATATGCTTTATTTTTCCTCCTCATTCATTCCTGTCATTCATTCATGATACCAGAGAGAGAGAGAGAGGTGCCTGGATGAGAAAAAGCTAAGCTTTTTATTGTCCTTTCGCCGTCTCTCTCTATTTGACCCGATAGAACAGGGGAGAGAGAGAGAGAGATGGGGGGAGAAGGAGAGAGAAGCGGCGGTGCTCCGGCGGTCACGGCGGAGCAGATGCCGATGGTAGGATCGAGATATCCTCTGAGCTACTGGGAGGTGACGGCGGCTTCCGGCGTAGTGGTAGGGTTCCTGGTGAGCCTTTTTTGCGTTTACATCACCATGCCCGAATCTGATTACAGTTTCCTCAAGCTTCCTCGGAATCTTGAGGACCTACAGATCCTTAGGTAATTTTTTCTTTTAATATTGATTTCCAGATTCCTTGTAAAATGTCTGGTTTTGATTCTGGAAAAAAAAAAGTAAATGCAAATCCAGATTCAGAATTCCAGAAATTGTAGATTTTTGTTGCTTAGTCATCCTTTCTCTGTGCTAATTGAGAATCATGTTTCGATATCATGTGATTCTTAAGGTGCATCACTGCATTTTCTTTATTGTAAATGGATGGCTCAGCATTTTGATGTATGGTTATGGAAATTGCATGTTGCAGAGACAACCTAGAGAGTTACACAAGTGATTATACCATTCAGGTTCTTGTCGGGTACTGTCTGGTCTACATATTTATGCAGACATTCATGATCCCCGGAACTGTGTTCATGTCTTTGCTTGCGGGCGGCCTTTTTGGAGTTTTCAAAGGCATGGCTCTTGTCGTCTTCACTGCTACGGCCGGTGCTTCTTCTTGTTTTTTCCTGTCAAAGCTTATTGGCAAACCTCTTGTGTTCACTCTTTGGCCTGACAAGTTGGTGTTCTTCCAAAATCAGGTCAAGTTCTTTGGATCGTATTATGTTCAAGGATTGAGCAAGCATGGGATGATGATGATGATGATGATGATGATGATGATGATGTGATTTTGGTTTGCAGATTGCGAGGAGAAAAGACGGGTTGTTGAACTACATGCTTTTCCTAAGGCTAACTCCGACACTTCCAAACACTTTCATCAACGTTGCTTCCCCGATTGTCGATGTGCCTTACCATATCTTCTTCCTCGCTACATTCATTGGACTGATTCCTGCTCAAGATTCTATCGGTTAAAAGCAAAACTAAGATACGGATCTTGTTTGTGTGTATATATATACATATGTAATGTTGAAGAGAAAATGAAAAATTTTAAAACAAAAAAATATATATATACAGAGAAAAAAAAACACATAAGAAAATGGTGAATGAGATGTGTGAGAGGACCAGCCGATGATCAGATTCAGTGAGATGGGCTCATTACACTGTCATACACACATGCACCCAGCAAGTTCGCATCCCCATGAACCCCAATTTTCAAAATATATAATCATTTTTCGTATTTTTCAACTTCCTGCTGCTTATGTCACTGTTCGGGTATTGAAAAAAACCTTCATCTCCGTGCCACCTTATATCGTGTGGTTTAAAGACTGAAACTTTTCCGTTCACATCCGTCACTGCTTATACCCGGGTTTCTTATAGGCCGGGATTGCTCTCGGGGAGCTGCAGTCACTGGGAGATCTTTACGACTTCAGCTCAGTGGCGACATTGTTCCTCATAGGCATTATCTCTGTCACCCCAACTCTCATTAGCAAGAAAAAACCATAATAGCAGAATTTCTAGACAGAAGAAGGGATCAGCCTCACAAGAACACAACACAACCCTCTGTACATATATGTAAAGCCCTTCTCTTCTCTCTCAGCACTCGTTCCATTTGTTTCTGGTCCCTCTGTATTGTTAAGATGAAGAATCACCGTTAATGTAAAAGCCCCCACCTTGGAAAAAAGAATAAAATGTTTTTTGGTGATCCCTGGCATTGTTCATTCAATTGATTGCAGAGTGAAGACAAAGATTAAATGTCAATGGAAACACATATTCTTGATATGACAGAAGATTCTTTGATTCGTCTGAAAGCTGAAATATATATGCGAATACAAAATTCAGGGATTGCACCAGTTCAGGCAACTGACGTAACATATATCAAAAGGGCTCGTATCATTATAGGAACCCGATTCAGAAACAGAAGTCTGACAACCATTTGCGACAGTCTTGAAATGTCCTAAAATCGCTTTGGTTTCTTCTTCCGGGAGAAACTTTCGGGCGTCCGGCTGTCATGCTTACGCTTAATCCCTGCCCGCTTAACATCATTTTCTTGGGAGCCTTTTGCTCTAGCCTTCCTTGCAGCAACTGATGGCCTCTTCTGCTTCCTCTGCTTCAGATGCCCAGTTTGATCTCCCGCCCCTTTCGGCTTTGTCTTTGCTGATCCGGGGCTTTTCTGATGGGCAATCTTCTTGTTTCCACCCGATTTTGTTGCCCGTAAACCTTGATACGAAAGGACGGCCTTCCTGTCCAATTTCTCCTTCTCTTTGTCTCCAGAAGACGTGGTTTTGTCCCTTGCCAGTTTCTTGGCAGGTGAGTAAGCTTCTGAAGCATGGCTCTTCCTCTTCGATGGAGTTGAATCGGATTTAGTCCGAGAAAGGCGTAGTTCTCTATCCCGAAGTTTCCAGTTTCTCTTTTTCAAGACAAGATTTGCAGCTTCCTGATAGACAAAAGAGGAACTTACAGTCAGAAAAAGATTCAGCAAAGCATCTTATCCTCTAATCTGAAGCCTACTTTTATGACATACCCATGTCTTAAACAAGACATATGCGATTCCCTTTCCAATGTTCAGGTGAGGATCTCTAACAACACGGATAGCTTCAACACTGTTCCCCACATTGTTCATACTGGTAAACAGCTGGTACAGTTCTTCATCCTGCAATAGAAACGAAATATCTGAGAACCCGAGATCAGGCTGAAAAAACACGATACACATGAAGAACCTGAAGACTAACCTTCACATCAAACGGGAGGTTACCAACAAAGACGGTCCTTTTCAGGTCATACAGCTGAGCAGCCTGCCCTTTCAGTTTCTTCCGAGGTGGGCATGCACTATCAACTCGGATGTGATTGCCACCGACCTTATATGTACATAATATATGAACCAGTGGTTACTTCCTCATAGGAACAGATCAATGATCAGAATTACTGTCCTAATTTGCAGAGGGAGGAGGAGAAATGTACCAGTGACATGTTATGTGCCAGAGATGCTTCAGCAGACTTCTCCGATTCGAACACAACATAGGCATGAACACTGCGATACCAAAAAAAATTCCACATCATAATCTTGGAACATTGTATGCAATAGAAACAAATGTGCCCTAAATGAAGATTCATGCCATCAAATGATCCAACATCAAGCAAGAAGAATCCATCAGGGTCAAAATTTTAATCAAAGCAAATACCTTGAAGCATTCTCATTGATCTGCTTCTGCATTATAGCTCCCTTCCTCGTCTTCTTCGTCTAAACAGATCAAAACCAGCAAAATCAAACATCATTCATAAGATCATACATCAATAAACCGAAATGCTACAGAAACCGAACTCACATCCACGATCGGAACAGACCGAATCCTCACGGACTCAACCTCGCCGAATTTGCTAAACTCTTTCAATATCGCCTTTTTCTTGATTTTCAGTGGAAGGTTCCCTACGAAAACGGTTCTTAGCAGCTTACTCTCGTCATCAAATCCTTCCTTCGAAACCATTGTCGTATCCGCCACTTCGTCTGATTTCTTCCTCTTCTCTCCCACTTTCTTCTCCTTCTCCTCTCCAGCCTCGGGCGCCTTTCCGTACTTCTTCACCTCGTATTCCTTCTCTATCTCATCCCTCTTCCTCTTCTTCCTCTTCGACTCATTACCCAACACAGGTTTGCCCTCTTGTGCAATACCCATATCAGAATCCTTCTCATCATTCGAGCCACCATTATCCATCTCTTTCTTAGGTCGCTTCCCTTTCACATAACTCGTCACGGCTATTTCTTCATCACCATTCTTCGCCGGTTTATCCGCATCGATGCTCCGTTTCTTCTCCTTGCCTTTCTTCCCATCGGAACCTGCAGACTCCGATTTCTCCTCGTCCCCGACAGGATTCGGCTCCTCCGCCTTCCGCCGGAAAGGGTTGTCGTCGGAGAATAGACTGGAAAGACCGGTAGTTTCTCCCTCGGGAACGCCGGAGCCGAAGAGGGTGCTAAAGATCCCGAATTGAGCCGAAACGTCCACGTTTTGGGATTTGGGTTCCGCATCTTTCTGTCTCTTCTTCCCCATCTTCCGGCAATTACACGAAGGCCGAGAGCGGAAGAGAAAGACGAAACCCTAAAACGTAAAAAGTTTTGTTTTTTTTTTGTTCTTCCCCCAGGGGGGGGAGGGAGAAGAAAGCAGGAGATATTGACAATCTGGATCCGGTCGGGTCATCACGAACCGGATCAAGCCCATTATCTCTTGGGCCGAGCTGGTCTATTATATCCTCCGCTACTTCCTCCCTCTCCAATTCCCCAAACAAACTAAAAATACCAACCCTTAAAATTTCAATGAAATTTAAATTTAATACCGACACCTTTATTTCAATGAAATTTATTAATAATAACATCTTAGACTATGCATAAGGTTACCGCGGAGATGAAATACATGTATATATATATAAGTTAGCTAATATCAACCTAAACGGCATCGAACAAATTATTCGAAATAAAAATTCCTAATTATATTCTAATTTTAGTTAAATCACATTTTTTTTTTAAATTACATGACCGTAGTTTTGTGAATTTTGAAATAAGTTTTTCTTAAAGATGGACAGGACGCACAAGAAATTGGGTAAAGGATCTTGAAGGCCCATTACATGAAGTGCATTTGATATTAATTCTGTCATGGGCCGAGAAGAGGTCCATTATTAGGCCCATTGTAATTCCGAGACAGAGTAAAAAAATTATACTAAAACAACACGAATAATAAATTTAGACCAAAATAACAACGTATATACATATATATATATATATATAAATGAAAGTGTATTGATTATGTTAGGGAAATTCCCAAAAAAATCATCCAATTGTGAGATAACTATCACATTCATCATGAACTTTTAAATTTCCAAATTCATACTGGATTTAAAAATTTTTTCTAAAAAATCATTCGAAATTTAACAGAATTAATTTTGCCACGTAGGCAGAATTAATTTTTTTACAATTTTTTACATTTTTTGAAAATGTTTTACATTTTTTTACATTTTTTTACAATTTTTACAATTTTTATAATTTTTACATTTTTTGAAAATGTTTTACAATTTTATACTTTTTTACAATTTTTACATTTGTTTGTAATTTTTTCACATTTTTTATGTTATTAATTATGTTATTATGTAACACAACATAAAGAATGATAAGAGAGTGGGTATTAGGTCATTGAATGTTTAACTAAACAATGGGGGAGTTTCGTGGGGCGTTGTCTTCATAATTGTTGTCGTTTTCTGTGATCCTTAATGACAACCATAAACACCCAACAGTTGGTGGTCCAGTGGTTGAGATGTGACAAAGTCATCCTCAAAGTCCTGGGTTCGATTCCACTGGTGGGGAGTGATGTAATTTCTGGACTAAAATAGTCCATATACAAAGGCTGGTCCCGGGCCTAGGGTGGATGTAGTCGGGCCGAAGGCCCGAAGAACCATCCTGATTATCAAAAAAAAAAACCATAAACGAAGAAAATGGGTACACTTAACATAGAGACAAATATCTATAATTTATTAAATTTAGATTGTAAGTAATAATTAATCCGTTCATGATTATCTAATCAAAATGACAGCCTGGAAGAATCTAATGCTTAAGACATTTGTTATATAATAATAATAAAAATGATGACGATGATGATGAATCGATGATGATGATGATAAATAGGTAGATACATAGATAGGACATTCATTGTATATAGAAACAGAAACGGTAAGGTGATGATGATGATGATGATGACGACGATGATAGTATTCTCAAAGAATGTTTTGTTTGAATTGTTTCCCACATAAAAAGCTCTATTTTATATAATCAAAAGAAATTTCTATAAACAATACAACACATTTAATTTGTTTGAGTCAATACAATGTTATTATTTGTTTATATACACAATATCCTTGGTTCCACACAAAAAATACACACATATATATATATATATATAAAGTATAGGTGCGTGTACGGAAAGCCACGCCCAACAAGAAGAATCTGAATGCAGAATCGCATTGACAATGGATTAGATTAGATCTACTGGCCACATTTATTCTTTCCAGAAAACCATGATCACACATTTCCATAAAATAAAATTTTATTCAAAAAAAGGAACGTATTAGTATCAGAAAGCAAGTTCCTTTTGCTAATCATTACACTGATCAAACCATAAACGTTATTTTAGACTAATGGATCATAGAATTAGAACGAAACACATCAACAGATGTAGACACACACACACACACGCACATATATATATATATATATATATAACCTTTTTTGTAGTTATGATGTATTGTTTTATCAACAAATCTGCAGAATCTCTGATGAGTTAATTGAATTGGCATGGGTACAAAATTTATCTATCTGGGTCGATTTGAAATAATAAGTGGAATTGATGGATACGAGAATTAAGTTCTCGATGAAAAAAGAAACCCTAAAGACTAACACGAACTAAAAACAAAGAACAAGAACAAGATGATATCTCCAAATTACAGAGAAGCTCCTCCTCCACCGTGGTATGTATATATCGTATAGATGTGTATGTATGCGAACACATATACACACACACGGATAAATCAGAAGGGAGGTCTTCCGCCCGAGTTCCCAGGCCAACCCTCCACCGGAAGCTGCACGTTCGGCACCGTATTCATCGGAAAATTAAAGAACGGAAGTCCGCCGTCGGAGAACACATTATCACCGCCGTTGGTAGCCACTCCTCCGTCGCCGCCGCTGCTGAGAGATTCGTCCCCTTCCAGTGGAAGGCTCTCGTAGGCTACATTGGTGAATGAAGCGGCCATGACGATCACCGGGCCCACCGCTATGAGCTCGCCGACAACGCTGCCGCCAACGACCTGGCCTTGACCTCCCGCGAGGAGTATCGTCAGACTGGTTGCTCCCGGAGGCGCCGGCGGCGGAAGGAATGAACCGGAGAGGGAGAGGATCTCGAAGGTCCCTTGGAGAGTGACAACGGAGCCGGCGGAGGAGGGCTGACGGATTGTGACGTTGGTGACCGATCCGCCGCCGCTGAGGATGCAAACGCCGCGTTGCCGCCGCCGGGCGTATGTGGCGACACAGTCGAAGATGTCGCCGCCATTGTTCACTTCAAGAATGTGTGCCCTAAGTGTGTTAGCGCCCTCCTGCGTTATTATCACCGGCGGTTTCGGCTTGTTCTTCGACCCCGACGGTCTACCTCGTGGGCGGCGGACCATCGCCCCTCCGGCGGCGGAGACAAGATCGATATTAGAGCAGACAAGATCGATGTTAGAACCCTGGCGGTTGTGGGAGGGTGTTCCGCCGCCTGAGATGTCGCGATTGTCACCGGATAAGGCGGCGGCATCGTCGGGGGAGGATTGGTGGTGGAGATCGGGGCGATGGAGCTCTTGGTGATTGACGTAGCGAAAAGCAGTGCCTAGATCAAGACCTGCCATATGCCCACATACACGACAAGATGATGAAAAATAAAAATTATATAAAAAAATACACCAAGAAAGATTAAAGATTTCTTTATGGGGTTTGTATAATCCCTTCTATTTATTATTTCTTGTTCTTCCTTTTTTTTTTTTTTTGAAAAACAGAGAGAGAGAGAAGAGAGGATTGACAAGGAAGAAAGACAGAAACACGCAAGAGAGAAAGAAGACGAGGAAGTAGGAGAAGGTGAGACTTAAAAAAACATTAAATAAGAAAACTATGAGTGTATACACACATGTATATATATATATATATATATACATAACACTGTGATGTCGATTTGGCGCTTGGGAATAAATAAATGTGATGTCGGTGGATGTGATCTAATGAGACATAAAATATGATTTCGCCAAAAAAAATAATGAAGTGCTAAAAAGTTTTAATTAATCCATCAATCATCATAATTTGTGGTTGGATTTCTTTACTTTTTTGGTTCTTTCAAACATTCTCCACCATCATTGCACTGTATGTTTTATTGTTTATTTTCTAAATAAACGTTGCATCCTCATCATTAGTGCATGAAATGAATGTATGTATTATATTATATATATATATATATATATATATATTCCAATTAGTAAAATCAACACATCAGGACCAAAATTCCATCGTCATGCATGTCCTGCAAGTTTATTTTTAACGACTTGCATGATGTAATAATAGAAATATTGGAAGACCCGACCCGACCCGACCCGGGGTTGTTCTTCGGATTTAATAACGACTATAATTATCAATTTCCTCATGTCATTTATCTTATTTAAGATGGTTATATATATATATATATATATATATATATATATATATAACGAGAAAGCCTTATACTATATTTATTAGGCAACTATATGAAAATGTGATCATGTGATCCATTAAACAGTAGTATTTACTAATGGACTTTCTCAGGTGGATGCTAAAGGTGCAGGTTGACTATGACTTACAACGCTAATAAAATAGGGAGGAAAAATAAAATATATCAAAGAATATACAATATAAATGACCAGAGGCATGCTATATATGACTATGAGGGATAAATCGAAAATATACAATTTAAATACTAAAGTAATTGTATTTAAATATATAGATTCAATACATATTATAATATATTGGAAAACATAAGAAAAAAAATTCATAAAATAGTGAGGGGATGATGCGTGAACAATGCGCATAAGCGTGAAATTCTTGGCTGAAAGTAGTAGTGTTTTTTTTTCCTTCAATTGAAAAACACGAATCAGAAACTTCAAGCCCAAATTTTTGGATCAAAGCAAGCAACCTCTAGGTTTCCTAACAATAATATACATAACGTTAATCACAGTTATATACGTATAAATGATTAAATGTATTTGGACCGATATATGTAAGTTTGTGCAAAGTACATCCCACTCTGAATATATGCAAAGAAAAACACACGCACACAACATTGTTGGTACGAGGTTGAGGTTATTGGAATGCTTTGTTACGTACTGTTCGTAAGATCTCGAGGGTTTTTGCCAGAACCGATTTTTATTTCCCGAATTGTATCATATATATATATATATATATATATATATATGTATATGTGTAGATATGACACAATTAATAGAACATCCTCTCATGAAATCAAGGGTTATCTTATCTTCCGCCCCACAATCATACATATACGTGTGATGTAAGTTTTGCGGAGAATTAATGAGAAAATCTTTTTACTTGTTACGTTTTCACGAAGATCAACGTTGAATTGAGCATTCGTGTGAAGGTGAGCAGACACGTGCGAGCAGAGGGAGACACGTGGGAGAGATGGGGTGAGCACGAAGGGCGAAAAAGCATTGGGAATTGGTCTCTTTACCCCTTAAATCTCGGGGGCCTTCTCCTGTTAGAACACGTAGCCCTCTGCTCTCACCTGCCCTATATTTACATCCCTTTTTTTAAAAAAAAATTTCCAAATAAAAAATAAAAACAATAATAGATATGTATATATTTGGGTATATGTATATGCTTATACAGAACCATAGACATACATCAATGTTGAAAAACTTCCCAACCAAACCTAAGGAACTCGGTTCAATTAGTCCTAAAACATTACCTGTTATCGGGCCGGAAGTTTACCTAGTTAGCGCGCCCGAAGAATAGCAGCTAGGGATCCTACGTTATCAAAAAAAAAAAAAAAAACATTACCTGTTCAGCTATTGTGATTTTAACCCCATCTTTTTTTTTTAAAGCAATTAACCCGTCCAAGGCTTTTACCTAACGTTTTAACGAAAAAAGGTATGATACATGTTATTCTATTAGTGAATGACAATTTAATTATTTCGTTATTTGATAAATAACAAAATAATACTAAATGAAAATGGAAGTTGATTTTTTTTATGTTATAGTCATTCCTAATATTCTTGTATAAAACTACCCTCGTTCCAATATGTAAAAAATAAACAAATAAACGTAAAAACATTAGATTCATACGGTTCATGAAAAAGACAAGATTTTGGTTATTTATTACCTATAAGCATTCCCACATACAAATGTATACACACACACACACATATATATATATATATATATATATATATATATATATATATGCGCGTGTGTGTGTATATATATCGAGTATATGTATCTGTGGATTGGAATGAAGAGTAGTTAGAAATGTGCAGAGGGGAAATACAGATTAGGGATTTGCTTGAAGTTATATACATATATATATATATATGCATGTAAACTTTTGTTCTTCCCTACAAAGCCTCCCCAAATTGTTGGTTGTACCTTCGAATAATGCCAAATCCCTTTTTCTTTTACATTTCAATAATATATATTTTGTAAATTAAAAAAAAAAAAGCTACAAGAAAACGAGTGCGGCATGGTGACACAACGTTTACCTTGACACATTTTTTTTTTGGTACCAAAGACCCTTTGAAAAGAGTCAATAAAAAATTATTTTACGAAGCGCGCATTTATTTTATGTACCTTTACGCGTCTCTTATAGACGTGCGTGTGAAAGATTGGACAGTTATTTCTTTTGGAGGAGAGAAAATATTTTGAGAATAAACAAAGTCATAAAGAAAATAATTAAATAGCTTGTGATTGGACAAATTGGGAGTCCGTTTGTTCCAAGAAAGCATCTTATCAAATCTTAATTTCCTCCTAGTTTCTCACTTATTTTATCCCCCGTATATAAAATTTCGTTCAAATGTATACTATATATGCATGGTTACATGTGGACGTAAATATTGTTAAGAATATACAATTCCATAGATAATTCTACAAAATTATATTTCTAATAGGATTAGTGGTAATGTCCTAATAAGATTAATTATGGTTTTCTAGTAAGATTAGTATTATGTTTCGGTTTAATGTCTTATATATGTATATATATAGTTATTAAATGGAAAATACAACGCATTGTTGCGTAAATTTTGACAAATATAAAGATGGTCCCCGATCATCGAAACAATGGTATAATTGATAGTAGCTCTCTTGACATATTTAAAATTCAACATGTACAACCCTTTTTTCTGCTGCTTTTTTTTTTCATTTGTACTTGTTAAAGTTTATTTTATGGTGTTGGCGGGTTTATTAGAAAAAATATATATTTTTTTTAACAAGATATTGAGGAACAAAGTCTAGATTAATCATCAAACCAGATACTAGTTATGTGATTTGTAATATATCCTTGGTCTCCAAATTTGAAGTTCGAATTCGAGGTGGGACAAACATTTTACGTCTTCGTTTTACCAATTGTAATATCCAAATTTAGGTTTTAAAAACCTATTAAAAAAACAGATGAAAATTCAACGTATACGGAGTTTAGTTTACAGAATAGGAATGTTACTCAAACAGTTTGAAATATCTCTGGATTTTAATAATGTGACAAAAGAAAAAAACTCAGCGAGCACTATTCTTGGTTTCAATTGACCAACTCAAATAATTGAGGCCACTATAAGAGCCTTATGATGATTCTTCCAATTGCATTCTCTAATGGAGTTTAAATAAACAAGGGCTAATTTGTCCGTTCATTCATATGTATATATGTGTGTATATATATATATATATATATAATCTTTTAGATAAAATAATCCGACCAATCACAATCAGGCGGTGACTTTCGGACGCAAAACTAATAATGTAGGTCGTGAGACTGAGACAAGATTAAGTCGAAGGCCCCCCACCATTAGAATTGTTGATATATATTGACAACCAAACCATTTGCCTTTTAATTAAATTAATCATTCTTTGGCTCATGTTGTTTGCTTGTTTTAATTAATACAATAAGCTTTCACTATCCCTCTCTATTAAGGTGCTTTGGACGATATATATAGACGACGAAATCTATGTAATTCTTAGGGTTTTCCCCTTCTTTAACGTCGATGTTTCTTTCTTTTCAAGTCATCTAATTAGGTAAATACAATCAAATTATTAATTAGAAAAACAATGCACGAAATTACAAATATGAAAATTAAGATATTACAAATGCCTTCGATTATCTACTCTTATTTTTCTAAAAAAAAAAGAGAGAGCAAAAAACCACACTAAAGGCTTGTAATTTTAATTTGGTGTGATATTTGCTTAATTCCTTTTAAATTTAAAACTCGTAAATTTAATGTACGGACGCGAAGCAGGAGCTAGGTAGACGGATAGCCATAAATACAACGCATCACGTGCACTCTACCCCTTCGGTCACTCGGGAAATGTGACGTGGAACAATTTCGGCCAATCAGAGGCAAGACTCGACAAGTGGTCACGTGCGATTCCCGGGGCTCTGATACCTACGCGGCCTCTCCATGTGCCCCCATTGAATTACATCTCTTACATTCCCTCCCTTTGTCGATCCAAATAGATTCAAAATATACTTATTGATCTCTCACTAACGGTCATTTAATCCGTTACTAATTTATATATTGGTCTGCATGTGCCAAAATTCCTACGGTTTCTCTGTGTTACCAATAAAAGTTCATATCAATTACTCCGAAATTTCAATATAAATATACAAAGATATATATTCATTTTGTTGAAAATTGAGTTATTTTCAATTTGGAAGACAAATTTTAAATACGATGTCAAGAAACTAATTAACTGTTACACAATTAACATATTATTTGTATATGGTATGAATTTTATTATACGCGGATCTCTTAAATGTTCACGGGAGAATATGGACTTGATGAGGTTTGAGGAGCTAATTCGTTGATGGATTGACTGAACGCGCGAGGTCATGGGGTTGATCCGTTTCCTCGTTTGGAAACAGATGAGATTACATTAAATGGACATAGATGGAGATACAAATGAGAGAATCATCAAATGCAAAAATAACAAAACCCTAATTAAGGTTTTTTCTGGTTGGATTAAAGGGTTTAATCTCAGTTAAAGGCCTTGATTAGAGGCCCTGATCAAACGTAGTTAAGAAGCCCCATGTACTTCCTTAATGACCCATTTTCAACCATAGTTGCCTTTGGGCCGATGTTTTCTCAGCGTCATTCCTTACATGGCATTGCTCTTGACTCGTCAATATATACATATATATATATATGTATATGTGTTTGTTTTCATTAGTTACTGAATTTATGAAACTAAAAAAGAGAACCCCGGGCAGATCCGCAAAAAATTTCAGACCCAAATGGTCCAAGGAAAACTTTGGTGCGAGTAGAGAGGTAACTAAACTCTCGACGAAGCAAATGGAACTGTAACTATACATTCTCACTTGGCCCCAATGACTAATTCTAATTGGGACATGACATTGCAGTTAGGTCCATCACTTTCACCTGTTTTGCCTTTTGCCCCCCCAATTTACCCAATACACTTTGTTTTCCCAAATTCATAATAAAACGAAAACCAAAGAAAAAACGTTTTAGTTTTATTGTAGCCCTATGTTCAATGCATGTGACCACAACATTGAATACTTTTATATAATTTTATCACAATAATCACACCACAACACATCAAAAGCTCATTTATAATTCTTGACCCGAAAAAAATATAAAAGCTACTTTCACTAATTTTGTTTATTTTCCCTCGGCAAATTTAATTAATTTCCTATCCTAAAAAAATCAAAGCATATATATATATACATATATACGCGCGTTATTTATGTGTTATATCCTGAAATGTCATCTTAGGATACTGATCTAATTTGGTAATTATGTGACAGTGGCTGCATAACCCTGGTGTCACATTTGAATCTTCGTAGTGATCACTTGCCCTACCATTAAAAGCAAAGATATATATATGACACAAAAAGTTCCAACTATTCTTTTTTTTTTAATCTTTGGATTACCATATATAGCCTGGATTTAAAAGAAAAAAGAAAAAAAAAAGAAATAGACCATACATGATTTTATTTTATTTTGCTTCTTTTGTTTTTTTTGGAGTTATACAATAATTCCTAACGGTCCTTACCCAAGAAGATTTTCTTCCCACATGCATAACGTCAGAGTGTTACTCTTATATGTTTTCCATGTAATGGAAAAACCCACATTCACCGTTTTATAAATGTGACAACCTTAAAACATACGTACAAAGACAATTTGTGTTATATAAATTCATACTTTAAAAAGTTTTAAAAAAATTATTGCGGATATCATCTGTGAAATTTGAACTGCGTTGAGATGTTATTTTCATCCGTCAGTAAAAAGAAAAAAGAAAAAAAATATATAAGATAAAGCGAAATTCGGGTCCATCTCTTATTTAATAATCCACTTGTAGTGAGGTATCATCGTTATCATCATCTATCAAACCCCATCTTCTTCTCAGCTGAAGCATCTCTCAGGGGAGGAAAAACCCCCATCTCTGAACTCTACAACCAAAGCGAAGGTGCATGGATGTGGAACCCTAGAAATTATCACAAAAAGGATGACTGGGAAGACGATGACGAATCATGGGAGGTCAAGGCTTTCGAACAAGACATGAAGGGGAACATGGCCGGAACCACTTGGCCTCCCAGGTCTTACACTTGTAATTTCTGCCGGAGAGAGTTCCGGTCGGCTCAGGCCTTAGGCGGTCACATGAACGTCCACCGCCGCGACCGAGCCGCTAGGGCTCCCACTCCCCCCGCCGCTCGCGCTTGCAATTCTTGCGCTCCGCCGTTTCCTACTCTTGTAATCCAACCCACAGCTGAGAGTTTGTGCCATTTCTACCAACTCCCAAACCCTAGTGGCATTTTTGGTAATTCCGGTGATGTGAGCCTCTCCGGAGCCATTGGTGCAACGTCATCTCCTGACTCTAACGCTCTATTTCCGTCGTGTAACTTGGGATTTTCGCAGTTGGGTTTTCCAGAGGACATGCCACGGCTTCTGGAATCTTCTGACGGAGATAAGAACCTTCGGTCCATTGATCATATTGGTGAAACATGCTTTGATTTGAATGGTCTAAGCAAGAACAACTTCAAAGAGACATGCACGGCGGTGGAGGAGCCTGATCTTGAACTTCGTCTAGGGCAAAAAGATTCCGCAGCTCCACCGTAGCAAACAACCGAGGACTCGACGTCGTGTTTACACAAAGGTTCTTCACATGTCTTGTTCTGAATACATTTCTGTTTGAATTTTGCTTTGTGATTGGTTGTTTTTCAATGCGAAGATGGTTTTCACAATTTTCCTCACGTGATGGTCAAATTGTCTATGCCAAGAAAGGATCAAAAGAAAGTTGAAAGACAGATGACTCCGTCAATTTTATAATTAGAACTCGGTTAAGAAATCAGTGGTCGGACGGTCAATAATGGAAAAAAAGATTTATAGATTAACAAATTCATATTAAGGGGTCATCAACATCTATAGTTCCTTTTTTAAAAAAAAAGATCTATAGTTCCCATAGCGTCTCTAATGTGTAATGTCATGGTAGAAAATGTATTTATATATGATATGAAAATCTGTTGATATCTGTTTGCTTGATCATATAGGGTCTATTCAAGAACATATAGTTTGTGATTTTAAGATTCATGAAATGGAGACACCCATTTTATGGAATCTGAGGGAAGAAAACTATATATTTATGCTTCCTCTTTTATTTTATTATTTGGAAGGATAAGAAAGATAAAGATAGACTAGCTAGGGTTTTGGGCTGGAGATATGGAGAGATAGATGAATGTTTACATTCATTGGCTTATCTATGAGGTTTTGCGTTTTACATCGCTTGGTTTTTTTCCCACTCATATTGTTTGGGTTTAATTATATAATTTTCATTTGGGTTATTTTCTTGAATTAATAATATGTGATATTACCCAACAAGGATGGTCGAGTGGTCGACTTGATGGTGCAAAACACCTGAAGGTCGGGTGGAGATGGATGTAATTTCTGGGTCAATTAAGACTCATATATAAAGACTGGTCCCGAACCAATGATTTACCTAGTCAGCATGCCTAAAGAATAACAGTTAGAGATCATCCGTTATAAAAAAAAAAATATATGTGATATTGTATTATGCATCTGTCTAGATTCGAAAGCCAATATGTTTAAAAGTCAAATTTACAACCAAATTTCATTGCAATATTAGCAACGCGATTTTTTATTACAAAATTATTGCTATCCTTTACAACGAAATATTTCTTGTTATAAAACGTTGTAAGTAGTAACATTTGTGCAACGAAATTATTTTGTTTGTAAAATCGTTGCATTTAACAACGAAATTATTTCACAATTTGCAACGAATTGCATTGATTTGCAACAAAAACATCTCGTTGCAAAATCCCTATTTTTTGTAATGTCTTAGAAAGTGTGAAAATAAATATCTAGAAATATATATAAGCTTTTTATTAAACATATATAACGCCGTAATAAGAGAGGCTCTTACTTATGATATGGTATCTAGTGTGTGCCAATGAATTTGTGGGTCACATGACACAATTTTCCCGCACCGATTGAGGTACGTACGAATGGCTCCGCACACGGGTTTCATGTGAAGATGGAAGTCATGGCGTCCCAAGGGAAATTAAATGTACCGAACAAGTAATTAACTCGTATAGTCATGCGAGGTCTTGTACATTTTGTTTTTTTGAAATTTTATGCATATAATTCAAATGTTGCGATAAAAGTTTATATATAGGCCGGAATAATAAATAGACTATTGGGTTTAAAGATCTTAGGACCACCTGAAAGAAGAGTGAACACATGCATTTTGGTAGGGCATCCCATATGGCCATGCATGTCGTTTTTTTTACTCGATCGATGCATGTATCATACTGAGATTTTATTTACTTTTGGAATCTCTTACTCTTGTTTTATTTTGTGTTGTTTATATATATATATATACACAAAATCTAACAGGAAATTCACTGTGATGAAATGAAATGGGAATGGCATGAATAAAAATTTGACGGTATCCTGTCTTGGACCCCCCACATGAGAAATTCAGAGACTAGACAGCTACAATATTCAGACAAAGCCATTAGAGTTATGTAGGGCTTTTCCCGTTGGTTGGTCCCCTCCATTTCTTCTTTTTTTTTTTAAAAAAAAACCCACATACCGAAACCATGCATCCTTGATGATCGTCAAGTGTCTTCTATTATATTTCTTGTAATTGATCCTCTTTCTCCTGGTTACGTTCTAACATTGTTTTTTCAGAACGACCATCAAGAACGATCTTGGCATTACTGAATTTATGCCATACCGAATTATTATAAAATCCTATGTTTCGTGTGCATACATCGGTATTTGACCACTCTTTACCATTTTTTTTTTGGCTTTGGTGATTTCTCTTTATTAGTTCCATATACAAAAATGATTTTGATTATGAAATCGATTAAGGTTTTTTTTTTGGGTAACCGGGTTTTGTGGGCCGAGACCCAGACTAATCCCGAGACCGGGAGGCAGCCATGTGATTTGAATTATGCGCTCCCTCTCCAGCCCGGGGTTCGAACTCGTGACAGGACAAACGCTTTGCACTCCCATTTCACCGGTTAAGCTACCTAGGTTGGGTCAATCAATTAAGCTTATAGCCTTATACTATCTAATAAATAAAGGAGATGAGTTCTCTTTTAAGTCGAAAGTATTTCTTAGGGTAGACGTTTCAGTATAATTCTTCAAAACCGAACTGAAAAACTCAACACCGCTTCTGAATCATACCAGTATTTTTTTAGAGAATCGAACCGAATTTAAAAAAAAAATAAAAATCAAAATTTTCTTCGAAAAATATATATTTTGTTAATGAAAATCGAAACCAAAACGAATTGAATATGAAATAATATCCGATTAGTATATATTTTTATAGAACCAAAACAACCAAACCAAATAATTTTCCGAATGGAAAGCGAAAACGCACATCCCCTAGTATTTCTTGTTTTCTATGTGGAATGAGACAAACTAAAGAGGACATACTGATGCCGACCAAGATTCTATCGGTTAAAAGCAAAACTAAGATACGGATCTTGTTTGTGTGTATATATATACATATGTAATGTTGAAGAGAAAATGAAAAATTTTAAAACAAAAAAATATATATATACAGAGAAAAAAAAACACATAAGAAAATGGTGAATGAGATGTGTGAGAGGAACAGCCGATGATCAGATTCAGTGAGATGGGCTCATTACACTGTCATACACACATGCACCCAGCAAGTTCGCATCCCCATGAACCCCAATTTTCAAAATATATAATCATTTTTCGTATTTTTCAACTTCTTCATTTATTTTTACAAAATATTTCTGCTTTTCATGTGGGTAATTTAGTTTCGTATTTTACTTAAAATAGCAATTAAGGTTTATTATGTGTAATTAGATTATGGAAAGAGCGCCTCTAGAAGTACCCCAGTATTCAATGGATTCAATTGGAGCACAGAAAAGTCGTATATTATATTGTCTTTCACCGCAATTTATGAGAGTGAAATTTAATTTCACCGCAATTTATTTACCGTTACAAAAAATAATAAAAATATTACCCAAAAAGCTATAATACTATTTTTCCTTATTTTTGTTCTGATTTTGAAATGCCATTGTTCTTCGTCTTGGGTTTCGAGTTATGGGTGGGAGATTGCTTTTGTGTTTTTTTTTTTGGACGAACGGATGTTTTATTTTAAGAAAATTGAAGTAACCGGTTCGAATAACAAAACCAGGCCCCAATGAAAGATTTTTATGACGTGGCATGCACACGTGGATAAAATTGTGTATGCGCATACTTATGACGGTAAGAGTTCAGTTTAAACGCCGTTATCGCGAATTTAGGAAATTGTGATTAGTTTTGTTAATTCGTGATTAAATTTGGAAGAATTTTGAATTCTCATGTAGTTTTTTGTAAAATTAAAATTTTGTATATGTTTTTGACACATTTTAACAATTTCGTGTGGGAATATGTTATTTTTCCTAATTATGTTGATAGTGTCAATCTTGATTATATTTTTAAAATTAAATTAAATATATAAGCCTGAAAATATGCGAATATGTCTACGAATCAATAAAAAGTTTTTAATATAACGGCATCAATATCTTAGAAAAATCGCACACAAATGCATCAATTTTGTAAAAAAAATTAAAAATAAATATGAATTAATTGAAATATACCAATTTGTTATAAAAAAAAAACTATCGATTTTCCAGACCATAAAAACGTTGATGGGTCGACTAATCGGAAAATTGGAAACAGCATCGTGTCGACATCATATCATAAGAATTGTCACATTAAAAATTCAACTCAAGAATATCTCATTTCTCGTATATCAATATTCATCGCTACATTAATTATTCTTGTTTATCACACACACATATATATATATATATATATATATACTGTAATTTCTGCGCATATGAACAAAATATTGATCTACGAGAATGTGAAATCTGTTCATGAACAATATAATCGAAACCCTTTTTACCATTTCTGAAACTTTATTAGATCTTGGGATCCAAATCACCTAAAATTCATTTGCCGCAATGGCCACCATACGCAAACATCTGACCTAAATTAGGGATCTGATTTTGAAAATACCGAATGTTGAAACAAGAGGGGAGGTCATTGACAACTTTCACCACGCTACTGCTTATAGCAACATTGTCGGCTTGCTCGGTCGAGTATTTGCACTGCGTGAAGAAGGCACTCGTCTCGTAGCCGGAAGCCGCGTCGGCCGGAAAAGCGCCGTTCCCCATGGCCGGACTGATTCCGTCGGGCGATTCGAACACATTACCTCCGTATCTTATGAACGTGGCTCCGTTCTTCAGATGCGTAAACACTTCATTTGGCCAGTAACCAACGAGTGTACCGTCACACTTCAACATCCAGTTTCCAAAACTAGGATCCTGCCAAAATTTCATTTGCATTGGTTTGCATATATATATACGAACATGATGATGTAAATGTTGTTGTGTTCGTGGTTTACACATTCACCTGAACGATACTGAACTCGGATACGAATTCTGGACCGCCGTTGCTAGTCCTCGGAAGCATTTGCATCCCGACATAAATCTGTTTATCCACTTGAACGAAACCGGGGCATATCGTATTGTAACACCCGGTTTGTTTATAACCATCCGCCTGTCATATCAACAACTTCAATTAAAATCTCTATCTCTGTATTTGCATTTTTCGTCAAAGATTATGAAAGTTTTTACGTGGAAATAAACTCCATCACATTTCAACTTACCGTCCAGAACGCGGTTAATCTTGGACGGCTGTCGCTGTATATTCTTGAATGAGCCTATATTATTATTATTGACGAAAGCAATAAACAAATCATATAATATTTATTATATAAATAAACCAAGATTAAGGGGGAGAATAAAGAGACATACGGCCCAACCAAAATGGATGCTATTGCGTTGGTCAGTGGGCCCACTTTCGACCCAGATAGAAGCCCTACTGTACTGATTATTCGCCACGCGCGGCGCGTGTATGCTCATCCTCGCGCTTGCCTCCTTGTAAACCCCCGTTGTTTCCTCTCCGGTTTCAAGCGCCGCAAACTTTCCAACACCTCCCCCAAAAAAATTAATTTATGATTCGATCGTATCTTTAATTATTCATAAATATATAGAAATATCGTGAAATACTAAAAATATTTTATAATATCCCATTGAGTATTAAATAAAACTTACATGTTGACCAAAAAACTCGGTTGACATCATATGATAACTCTCGTTTACTGGGTTTGGCTTTTGGATCGGTACTTGTCCTTGGGGACAAAGATCTTTCAGTTCACCAAAAACATTCGATTGGTTATTTCGTTTATTATAATCCATGCCCGTCTCCGTAGGATTTAATTTCACCTGTAGTATAAATGCAAACGAAATTCTAACGTGACAAAAAAAACATAAAATGAAAATAATTTAATCCAATTATAGAGACAGAATATGTATATGCGATATACCTGGATTTTGTGGTTCTTTAGCAGCGGATGTTGAAAAGCTGGTTGTTTGTAAATATCGACGCATTCGAAATCGGGGTTTTGAGGCTGTAAATATACCACATAATTTATCTAAAATTTTAGTACATAAAAAATTATTACGTATAAATCATCGATAACGTTATATTTCGTATAAAAAACGTACCGAAATTTGTTGAGAAATGCCATGGAGGCAAAGCGCAGAAAGCAGCGAGAAAATCAGCAGCAAAACTAAGTCCATCTTTTTTGCAATCATCTTGATTATGAACTTAACTCATAAACCATAACGTACCTACATATATATATATATATACACACACACACACACGAGTGCAAATGTGTTTCCGTTTTAAATTGCCTTTTATTTTATGGATTTTTTTTCCCATTTCAAATAGTCTAAATTTAGAAGAATAAAAAAGGTACATTCGATCAATATATATATATATGAGTGTAAATAGTCTTGTGATGAATAGATTTAATGCATAGTTTTTTTTTTTGGTTAAAAAAGTTACAAATGATGATTTAGTGCCCATCATGGCATTGATTGTTTTTGGATCCTCTCAATAATGACATTAAATTGAAAAACGGACCGGATCAGAGCAGATTCAATGCTAGATCCCATTTTATTTTTTAGAATAATGGAAAATAATCTAAAACGACAAATATTTTGAAACAAAATAAAAAGACCGAGATCATGTCTTTTTGGTTCCGTAACTTCGATCCTTTATGATGTTTGGTTCCTGAACTTTTGGCTCATTAGGCTGATGTAACTTAAACTCTCTTCGTTGTATCTGGGCAGTTGTATTTAATAGAATTTACCGTTTACCAAAAAAAAAAAAAAAAAAAGACCGAGATCACCAAACACGATACAAATTCGGGATTCATGAGCTGGGGATGCAATGCCCACCGTACCCAAACATTTGGCCCAAATCACTGATCTCGTCTTGGAAATAGTTGACTCTGTAACAGTTGTCGTCAACGACAACTTTCATGATGGCGCTGTTTATATCTTTCATGAAGACCAGCCCTCGGGAGTTCTCGAGTGCCAATTTGCAGTGAGTGAAGAAGGCGCTCGTCATGTAGTACGGAGCCGTATCCGACGGAAATAAACCGTTCCCCATGGTCGGGAGGATGTGGTCGGGCGATTCAAATGTATTTCCACCATATCTTAGGAACGTGGCTCCCTGGCTTAAATGTGGAAACACTTCCTTCGGCCAGTAACCAATGGCCTTATCCTGAACCATCAGCATCCAACGCCCATCCAAGTAGGTATTCTACCAAATGGGTATAGATTATTATTTTTTATTTTAAAAAAAAAGTGTCAATGTTATATTATGTGTTAAAAACGATATATATATATATACATATATATATATATACCTGTACAATAGAGACTTTCAATAAGGAGTCTGGACCGCCATTGCTGTCCTTGGGGAGGACTTCCATTCCGACATAATACTCTTTATCCACTTGAACGTAACCGGGGCATAACGTGTTGTAACATCCGGTCCTCTTATAACCATCCGCCTGTTTGTAAATATAATTTCAATTACATAATCTCTACGTGACTTTTTTTTTCATCATGAAATTTTTTTTATCTACTAATAATCAACATCATCTTTATATGGTTAAAAAAAACATCATCTTTATAACTTACCGTCCAGAAGACGGTCAATCTCGGGCGAGCGTCTGGGTATATCCTTGAATGAGCCTATATTGACCGAAAACAATAATATTATATATAAGTAATTAATAAAAATTACTTAACGCATGAATATGAGGGAGGAAGGGGGGAACGTACGGCCCAACCAAATTGGATGCTGTTTCGTTGGTCGGCGGGTCCATTTTCGACCCATATAGAAGCTCTGCTGTATTGGTTATTTTCCACGTGCGGCGCGTGTATGCTCATGACGGCGCTTGCTCCTCTGAAAACTCTGTGAACCTCTATCGTTTCAAGCGCCGCAAACTACGGATAAAAATTTCGTGATTTGATCAAAATACCTTTAAATATCAAGATGGGTATCTGTAAAATACTATACATGATTTGATTTATTAGACAGAATTTTTTTTTTAAAAAAAAAACTTACATATTGGCCCGGAAAATCTTTGGATTCCATGTGATAAGTCTGATTTTGTGTTTTTTGTTTATGGATCGGTACTTGTCCATCGGGACAGAGATCTCTCGATGTCCCAAAAACACCCGTTTGGTTTTTTTCTTTATCGGCTTTTGTGTCGATACCCATTCTCTTCATCATCCTTGTCATTGCTTTCATCTACAGCATAAAATACGACAAATTATAACATAAACAAAGTCGAATATAAAACACATTGATCGAATCATAAAGACTTTGTTTACATATGATGATTGTACCTGAATTTTGTGGTTCTTCAAGAGTGGATGACGAAAAGCCGGTTGTTTGTAGATATCAACGCATTCAAAGTCGGGTTCTTCATGCTGTAACAATTGGACAAATTTCACGTTAAAATTAATGAAAAATATATTATTTCATATGAGTCATTATAATAAGATTACGTCGCATGTAAACGTACCAAAATTGCTTCGGAATGGCCATGAAGGCAAAGCAGAGAAAGCGAGAAAATCACCAACCAAAATATATCCATTTCTTTTAAATTGTGAACCTAAATCAATCATAACACACCTACATATATAACAAGACCTCGTGTGCGGCAAAATTTAAAGCCATATCATTTTATAAATAAAATAAATTGCAATTATTTTAATTGCTTTCTCGGATAAAATGTAAGATTTGTTACCATTTTTTAACATTAGAGAGATATATAGGAATCTTCTATACAAATCCAGAAACAAATCTATTCATCACAACCTTTTTAATAAATATTTTTATAAAACATTCCATAAAAATACCAAAATAATATCTCAATTTCTAATTTGATAAATAAGTAACTCAATTTGATAAACTGTATCAAATTAATGCCCGATCAATAACTTCGTTAAATTGGATGAAATGGATTCATACATGGAAAAACAAATTTGGCACGTAGACAAAATTAAAAATTGGTTGATGTGGTTCAATGTAATCCAGTTTGGTTGATTTATTTTGATATAGAATGATTAAGCAGAATTACATTTGAACAAATTGAGAATTTTTTATGGATTTTTTTCCAGTAGTTTTTTTATAAAATCATTCACTCATACATCCAAATATTGATCATATGGTTTTTTTAGTAGAAAAATATCATCATTTTATAAGGTATTGAATATTTGTTTCTAATTCTTAGATATTTTGTTATATTTTTTAATATAAAAATAATCATATCTTATAATTGTTTAATGTTTTAACAGTAATATATTAATTTCTAATAACTAAAAAAATATATATTTTTTTATTATTATTATAATTTTTTATTATTATTCGGATACTGACGGATAATTACCTTACCTGAAAACACTAATCCAAATCTGAAGTCGAATTTCGAAATATTAGGTATGATAGATATCAAGGTAAAATAGATTATTATCTTTTAAGTGAATGACATTAAATGTGTAAGGCCAAAAATATTCGAAAGAATAGTAAGAAATATGAGTTTACAGAAAACTATATATGTAAACTTTTTTTTTTCTTTTTATAAAGCAAATTATTTTATTTTTCTTTAATAGTCTAATATGATTGCTACACAAATAATAAAAAACAAAGATTGTTTGAGTTGTCGTTCAGTTAAAACGACAGTTTAAGATAAGCTCAAACCTAACCAAGACAACATGAACTGCATACTAAACAAACATGACGCACTTTAAACTCAAATTTTCTACCTAAAAAAACAGCTTATCTTATATGTGAAAACTATATTCCTTTTTTTTTTCAATAATCGTGAAATAAATATTGTAATTGAACTAACCAACATACTTTTACAAATATACAATTAATATACATCAATCTCATATTTAACTATTACAAAAAATGAATTCGACCTGCACAAAAATATATATACTAGTGCATTGCACGTGTGATTAATGGATTTATTTCAATTTCAAATAATTTTTTAGCATATGGAATGGGCACAGTTGACGAGAATTACTTTTTGTTTTTTTCAATCCTGTCAATGTTGGTTATATTCTAAACCGGTGTACCGTAATTCCATTAGTGGGGGAGAAAACCCGGTTAGGGTGATGGTTCACTAAAAAAAAAGGGTATGGGCCGGAGATTAGAGGCGGGTAAAAAGAAGGCCCATTGGGAAAAGTGCCACGTGGCGTGTAACTAACCAGCGGATGACTAGTACCGCGGTGAACAGAAAAAAAGGAGGGAACTCCTAACCGTTTTTGTATAATAAAAAAAATACATTATATTTTTACATAATTATTTTTTTGTGTGTTATATAAATCACTACTGTCTATAAAAACACAATAAGAAAAAAACACAAGTGGACACGACAGGATCGAATGGAGAACGAAAGGCATTCGCTGTCTTCGTTGCCTATGCTCGCCAGGCTCGATCACCTGGATTTCATCGTAAACCTCTTAATTAATTTCTTTTTCTAATTATATTTTCAATCTCTTTAATTCGATTTTATGTGCGGTTGATTGCAGATAAAGAATATGGAGAAGCAAGAGAATAATTATAATCCAAAATGGAGGGAAATAGAGAATGGGGTGATGACACGTGGACGACCGGCGTTGGATACGGCGGTGAGAGATGCGTACTTCAAAGGCTCGTTGCTCGAGAGAGTGGCCGCTCTCGAGAATCGTCTCTTTCAGGTCCCATTTTCTTCACACACAAATACGGAGTATTTCATTTTTACGTTAATTACGTACGTATTTTTATTCACTGTATATATATATATATGCATGTATAGCTGTGCATGGAATTGGAATCGAGCAGCACATCCTCTACTTCGACGGGAGGGTCTGGCGGTGAACCGTCGAGCCAAAGGGCCAAAAGAGATTCGCTGAGGACGTTGCCCACTTTCTCCAACATTAACCCCTTTCATATCCCAAAACAACACCACGACACTCCTCCTCCTGCCCTTGCCAACAATACTAACGATAAACCCGACACTCAGGTACATACACACATACACCCATACATACATACATACATACATACATACATACACACACATGCATTATTTGATGAAGCGATTGAACACAACAAGTAGGCGGCTGAGGAAGGGAAA